AGGACAATCCCACAATGAAATCCCCCCCAAAAAAAAAAATGTAAGAAAGTTGTAACAGGAAGGATTAGAATAAAATAGAATTTCAATAGAAAAATTTCAGTTTATTTTTAACCCATACAGTAAGACATACATTTTAAATGTCTTGCCAAAAATACGCAAAATTTATTTACACCACCTGGTCACCTTGTAGTATGTGGAATTAATTCCCTTAAAAGGCAATTTCTTGAAATACATCTATTTTTTTTCCTATAAAAAGATCTATATATAGATATATATATGTATATATATATAGATATATATATAGATATATATATCTATATATATATCTATATATATATATAAATATAAATATATATTGTACTACTATCTATACCATTTACTTTCTACAATGTGGCTGTGCATCACAGAGCATATGCCACACAACTCTTAATTGAATATTAGATTTTTAGAACACTTTAATAATATCCTTAAAAATAAGAATGGCCAAAGTGTACCAAAACATTGTAATTTATGTTCCAATTTTAACTATTGTTTAAAAGTTTTTAAACAATGGGCATAGAAAAGGTGGAAAAAAATTGGAAAGGAGGAAATAGATTGGAGGATCGTATAATTAAGGAATCTCAATAGTTTTATGAAAACTAAAGATTACATAACATTACAAATTCTGGATTACAGAACAATATTGATTTACCAGCTTGGTTAAGGAATCATATTATTATTATTATTAGAAACATAGAAACATAGAATGTGACGGCAGATAAGAACCATTCGGCCCATCTAGTCTGCCCAATTTTCTAAATACTTTCATTAGTCCCTAGCCTTATCTTATAGTTAGGATAGCCTTATGCCTATCCCACGCATGCTTAAACTCCTTTACTGTGTTAACCTCTACCACTTCAGCTGGAAGTCTATTCCATGCATCCACTACCCTCTCAGTAAAGTAATACTTCCTGATATTATTTTTAAACCTTTGTCCCTCTAATTTAAGACTATGTCCTCTTGTTGTGGTAGTTTTTCTTCTTTTAAATATAGTCTCCTCCTTTACTGTGTTGATTCCCTTTATATATTTAAATGTTTCTATCATATCCCCCCTGTCTCGTCTTTCCTCCAAGCTATACATGTTAAGATCCTTTAACCTTTCCAGGTAAGTTTTATCCCGCAATCCATGAACCAGTTTAGTAGCCCTTCTCTGAACCCTCTCTAAGGTATCAATATCCTTCTGAAGATACGGTCTCCAGTACTGTGTACAATACTCCAAGTGAGGTCTCACCAGTGTTCTGTACAATGGCATGAGCACTTCCCTCTTTCTACTGCTAATACCTCTCCCTATACAACCAAGCATTCTGCTAGCATTTCCTGCTGCTCTATTACATTGTCTAACTTGGCTATTATTTATATTTTAATCTGTATTAATAAAGGAATATTGGCTTTTTTATTACTATTTTGCCATATACCTTTTTTATTTCATTTTATTTACTTCCTGGTACCTGCTTTTATTTTGGAGTCTATATACAGCCAAGAATCCTGGGTGGGGATTGTACCACTTATGCGATTACATTGAGCAGTCTATTCTGCTCATCTGAATGTGAGTATTTTTATTCTTTTATTTTATTGGATTTTTACTGATATCCAGTGAGCACTATATTTTGTTTTTTTTTATTCCTTGTTTCTCTCATACTGAGGAATCGTCTTCACCTACATCCTACCAGTGGGGGATTAACGCCACTGAATGCCATATATACCAGAGCGAGTTTATGCTCTGGAATAGGTGAGTGTATTACCTCCCTATTATTTTCTATATCCTCTATTATTTACAAATATTCTACACTATTGGATTTTTTCTGTTTCCTCTATTTTTCCATGAGCACCATCAAGTCAATACTACGTTTATTAGAAGACCCAGCTCTTCACTGAATATACCACCCCTTTGCTGACAACAGGAAGAGAACAACATAAAGTACTGAGATCTTCACTCATCTATTGGAACTTACCGAAAGTACATCAAGTATTTGGACTATTTTTTATACATTTCTTTCTATAATTTTTTAAGTGTATGCTTATATATTATATTCAATTTTTTATATTTGTTGTAGCGCGACCTATTATTTCTGTTTGTGCTATTACATTGTCTGCCTACCTTTAAGTCATCAGAAATAATCACCCCTAAATCCCTTTCCTCATATGTTGAGGTTAGAACTCTATCAAATATTCTGTACTCTGCCCTTGGGTTTTTACGTCCAAGATGCATTATCTTGCACTTATCCACATTAAATGATTATTATTATTATCACTTTGGCTCACATAAAACAGCACTAACCCCCTCCCTTAGGTTTTGTTGTTGTATTTTGTTACGGTTTTATTCTCCTATTCCTTTCTTTATTTATTGTTAATGATTTTAACTCTTGTTTTATAGTTACAAGGATTATAGAGAATCGGCTCATGGTACATTTGTTGCCATAAGCACCATATGGTACATTTGTTGCCAATGTCTGTCTATATATATATATTGAATAGTAAAAGGCTTGAATAGTAAAGGCTTGCACTCACGGTATTTATATATAATATATATATATAATTTGAATAGTAAAAGGCTTGCACTCAGGGTTTTTGAAGTAATAAAAAGTATTCCTTTACTGCATATTCGTTAAAATCTGATTTGTTGGTCCTGAAGAAAGCCACAGATGGAGGGCTGAAACGTCGATCAGATTTTAACGAATATGCAATAAAGGAATAATTTTTATTACTTCAAAAACCATGAGTGCAAGCCTTTTACTATTCAAATTGTATACATTGGCATTTGGCTATTAAGCACCCGGTGATCAAAATTTTTGAGTTTGTGTGCAAGGACCTTTGAAGTTTATATATATATATATATATATATATATATATATATATAAAGAAATTGGCAACAATATATATATATAAACAATTTATATATATAAAACAAGAGGGGGTTGGCTGCACTCAGCTTAACATGCATAAATGGGGGTGCTGCTAGGGGCCAAATAATACAATACACAAGATCCAGAGCACACACCTATCCACTAAACAGCAACTTCAATGTTGAAAGATTTTATTTGTTTTTTTAAAACACCTAATCTAGGCAAAAATAATGGGGGTTTAGTTACATTATATGATCATACAGTGCATAAGCCTGCCACAAAGTCAATGTACCCCATCTTTGGCAGGTCCTACACTAACAGCCTAATGTCTGCTCTTATGAGATTAACCTACTTGGGGAAAGAAATTCCATGTGGGGCTCTCTGCAGTACAAGGCTAAATAGGGCCCTAGGATGAGGCACCTGTGACAGGGAGGGGTGCAAAACCAAGGAGTTGGCTAGACTCCCAAATATATATAAAACAAGAGGGGGTTGGCTGCACTCACCTTAACATGCATAAATGGGGGTGCTGCTGGGGGCCAAATAATACAATACACAAGATCCAGCGCACTCACCTATCCACTAAACAGCAACTTCAATGTTGAAAGATTTTATTTGTTTTTTTAAAAAACACCTAATCTAGGCAAAAATAATGGGGGTTTAGTTACATTATATGATCATACAGTGCATAAGCCTGCCACAACGTCAATGTACCCCATCTTTGGCAGGTCCTACACTAACAGCCTAATGTCTGCTCTTATGAGATTAACCTACTTGGGGAAAGAAATTCCATCTGGGGCTCTCTGCAGTACAAGGCTAAATAGGGCCCTGGGATGAGGCACCTGTGACAGGGAGGGGTGCAAAACCAAGGAGTTGGCTAGACTCCCAAATATATATAAAACAAGAGGGGGTTGGCTGCACTCACCTTAACATGCATAAATGGGGGTGCTGCTGGGGGCCAAATAATACAATACACAAGATCCAGCGCACTCACCTATCCACTAAACAGCAACTTCAATGTTGAAAGATTTTATTTGTTTTTTTAAAAACACCTAATCTAGGCAAAAATAATGGGGGTTTAGTTACATTATATGATCATACAGTTGCATAAGCCTGCCACAACGTCAATGTACCCCATCTTTGGCAGGTCCTACACTAACAGCCTAATGTCTGCTCTTATGAGATTAACCTACTTGGGGAAAGAAATTCCATCTGGGGCTCTCTGCAGTACAAGGCTAAATAGGGCCCTGGGATGAGGCACCTGTGACAGGGAGGGGTGCAAAACCAAGGAGTTGGCTAGACTCCCAAATATATATAAAACAAGAGGGGGTTGGCTGCACTCACCTTAACATGCATAAATGGGGGTGCTGCTGGGGGCCAAATAATACAATACACAAGATCCAGCGCACTCACCTATCCACTAAACAGCAACTTCAATGTTGAAAGATTTTATTTGTTTTTAAAAAACACCTAATCTAGGCAAAAATAATGGGGGTTTAGTTACATTATATGATCATACATTGCATAAGCCTGCCACAACGTCAATGTACCCCATCTTTGGCAGGTCCTACACTAACAGCCTAATGTCTGCTCTTATGAGATTAACCTACTTGGGGAAAGAAATTCCATCTGGGGCTCTCTGCAGTACAAGGCTAAATAGGGCCCTGGGATGAGGCACCTGTGACAGGGAGGGGTGCAAAACCAAGGAGTTGGCTAGACTCCCAAATATATATAAAACAAGAGGGGGTTGGCTGCACTCACCTTAACATGCATAAATGGGGGTGCTGCTGGGGGCCAAATAATACAATGCACAAGATCCAGCGCAAGATCCAGCGCACTCACCTATCCACTAAACAGCAACTTCATATATATAGTGTATTTTAAGGCAGAAATATGATTTCTGTCACACTCAGTCAACGTTTCAGTTCAATTAACAATGAAATAAAAAGAGTGATCTATATTATAAGGATCACCAATACCAAAAATATATATCTTATCCTGGGATATACTCTAAATATGTATTTCTTATCCTGGGATATACTCTATTAATTTGTACACATTAACGCTAACAGGTTGTATTTGATATATGTAAAGATAAGATAAAATAATACAATATTTACAAAACTGTGAGGGGTGTACTCACTTTTGTGAGATAATGTGTGTATATATATATAATGTGTGTATATATATATATATATATATATACACACATTATCTCACAAAAGTGAGTACACCCCTCACAGTTTTGTAAATATTGTATTATTTTATCTTATCTTTTCATGTGACAACACTGAAGAAATGACACTCTGCTACAATGTAAAGTAGTATGTTTACAACCTGTATAACAGTGTAAATTTGATGTCCCCTCAAAATAACTCAACACAGCTATTAATGTCTAAACCGTTGGCAACAAAAGTGAGTACACTTCTAAGTGGAAATGTTCAAATTGGGCCCAAAGTGTCAATATTTTGTGTGGCCACCAGTATCTTCAGGAATGTTTTAACCCTCATGGGCATAGAGTTCACCAGACCTTCACAGGTTGCCACTGGAGTCCTCTTCCACTCCTCCATGACGACATCACGGAGCTGGTGGATGTTAGAGACCTTGCGCTCCCCCACCTTTCATTTGATGATGCCCCACAGATGCTCAATAGGGTTTAGGTTTAGGTCATGCTTGGCCAGTCCATCACCTTTACCTTCATCTTCTTAAGAAAAGCAGTGGTCGTCTTGGAGGTGTGTTTGGAATCCCTATCATGTTGAAATACTGCCCTGCGGCCCAGTCTATGAAGGGAGGGGATCATGCACTGCTTCTGTATGTCACAGTACATGTTGACATTCATGGTTCCCTCAATAACCTGTAGCTCCCCAGTGCCAGCAGCACTAATGCAGGCCCAAACCATTACACTCACGCCACCATGTTTGACTGTTGTCTTTGTACTCCTTCCCTGGTTGCCGCCACACACGCTTGACACCATCAGAACCAAATAAGTTTATCTTGCTCTCATTGGACCACAGGACATGGTTCCAGGAATCCATGTCCTTAGTTTGCTTGCCTTCAGCAAACTGTTTGCAGGTCTTGTGCATCATCTTTAGAAGAGGCTTCCTTCTGGGAAGACAGCCATGCAGACCAATTTGATGCAGTGTGCGGTGTATGGTCTGAGCAGGGTGACCCCCCCCACCCCTTTCAACATCTGCTGCAATACTGGCAGCACTCATACATATATTTCCCAAAGACAACCTCTGGATATGGCGCTGAGCACATGCACTCAGCTACTATGGTCAACCATAGCGAGGCCTGTTCTGAGTAAAACCTGTTCTCTCTGAAACCGCTGTATGGTCTTGCCCACCGTGCTGCAGCTCAGTTTCAGGGTCTTGGCAATCTTCCTATAGCCTAGGCCATCTTTATGTAGAGCAACAATTCTTTTTTTCAGATCCTTAGAGGAGTTCTTTGCCATGAGGTACCATGTTGAAATTCCAGTGACCAGTATGAGAGAGTGTGAGAACGATACCAAATTTAACACACCTGCTCCCCATTCACTCCTGAGACTAACAAGTCACATGACACTGGGGAGGGAAAATGGCTAATTGGGCCCAATTTGGACATTGTACTCACTTTTGTTGCCAACAGTTTAGACATTAATGGCTGTGTGTTGAGTTATTTTGAGGAGACAGCAAATTTACACTGTTATACAGGCTGTATACAACCTATTAGTATTAGTATTTTTTTTTTTTGTGATTTGATGAAACTACATATGCCTGAATCAAAAGAAATAATAACATTAGCTACACATGTACATAAGTATGTAAAAATTATATTATAGTCTTACTGGAGCTGATTGCCAATTACCTACAACACTTAGAGTTCCAGGAAAGTACCACTTAATTAGGGAAGTCTGCTTAATGCCTCTGGGAATCAGGTAATTGTAAATGTAGCTGCAAAGTTTTGTTTTTCCTGACAGCCTTTAACTCCTCTGGTGAATATCAGGCCACTGCAGTGCAGGAGAAAATGGTATGCAATTCATATATGCATTTGATCACTGTCATCTGTTTCCCTGAGCGAGAAATACAATGCCAAATCTTATATAAAATGCTGGGGGATAAATTATGCAAACGTCATATTTTATTATTATCTTCTGCATAGTTCAGTATTAGAGGAGATTGCATAGGTTGTTACACTAGATAAAGTCAACTGAGCCTGAGGCAACTTGCAGTTATTCAATTTAAAAAATGAAAATATAAAAATAAAAAATAAAAAATGAAAAGGCCAGAGTCAACAGGTTAATTGTTTTGGAAACAAGAATATAGGTTGATTTTCTATTTTAAATTAATATAACCTACACTAGTAAGTATTTTTGATCAACAAGATTGACTTCAAAGTTTTTTAAATCAGCAGAATGCAAAACAGTTTCATTTCTTAACAATGGTTTGTAGTGAGCCAAATTAAAAAAAATGAGGTTAAAAAAATAAATAAATGAAAAAACATTGCATGTGAATCTAATGGTAAACCTCCTATATGAGTCCTACACCAACAACTCACCCTGTTGTCTTGAGACAAAAGGCAAAGTCTATAATAAAATAGAAAGAGGCCTTTTTTCTAAGCCCCTTTTTTTTTTCAACCATTAAAAAGTGTAGTGCTGTGAAACTCTGTAAAGTGCTTTATATCCAGGGATGTATCATTTTAAATATACATTAAAAAGTGCAAACTCAATTAAAAAAGTGCTGTTAGAGCCACTGCAGTTGTATTTGAAATACAAAATGTTTCAATTTGTTTACCTATACACATTCCACTCTGCAATATTAATTTATTCTACAAAAGAAAAAACATATACCCGTAATGCACACTGTGTATACAAAAATAATATTGAAAATCATTTAAATGTCACTCACTTTTACCAGAGCCTCAAGTGTCTAGCTCTGAGTTGAACAAACTCTGAGTGAAGAGGGGTTAAATGTACCCCATTTGGCTCCTTTTTCTTTTAAAGATGCCTGTTGCAGTAGCATAAAAACATAAAAATAGAACAAGGGAGGGCCCAATAGTGTTACACTGTAAAACATCTTTATTGGAAGATACAATTAAAAGGTTCACTTGAAAATATGCGTGAGACCTCTTGGTGTAGTGACTCACAAAAAAAGCATTTACAGTTGCAAGAAAAAGTATGTAAACCCTTTGGAATGATATGGATTTCTGCACAAATTGGTCCTAAAATGTGATCTGATCATCATCTAAGTCACAACAATAGACAATCACAGTCTGCTTAAACTAATAACACATAAAGAATGAAATGTTGCCATGTTTTTATTGAACACACCATGTAAACATTTACAGTGCAGGTGGAAAAAGTATGTGAACCCCTAGACTAATGACATCTCCAAGAGCTAATTGCAGTGAGATGTCAGCCAACTGTAGTCCATTCAATGAGATGAGATTGGAGGTGTTGGTTACAGCTGCCCTGCCCTATAAAAAACACACACCAGTTCTGGGTTTGCTTTTCACAAGAAGCATTGCCTGATGTGAATGATGCCTCACACAAAAGAGCTCTCAGAAGACCTACGATTAAGAATTGTTGACTTGCATAAAGCTGGAAAGGGTTATAAAAGTATCTCCAAAAGCCTTGCTGTTCATCAGTCCACGGTAAGACAAATTGTCTATAAATGGAGAAAGTTCGGCACTGCTGCTACTCTCCCTAGGAGTGGCCGTCCTGTAAAGATGACTGCAAGAGCACAGCGCAGACTGCTCAATGAGGTGAAGAAGAAATCCTAGTTTATCAAGACATTGGAGAACTTAAGGTCATCTGTCTACCAGCTGAAGCTCAACAGAAAATGGGTGTTGACACAGGACAATGACCCAAAGCATAGAAGTAGATCAATAACAGAATGGCTTAAACAGAAGAAAATACGCCTTCTGAAGTGGCCCAGTCAGAGTCCTGACCTCAACCCGATTGAGATGCTGTGGCATGACCTCAAGAAAGCGATTCAAACGAGACAACCCAAGAATATTAGAAAGTGGTGGATTCAGCGCTTAGTGTATCAATGGAGTAGTAGTAAAAATTTATATAGGCTGCAACCTAAAGGTATGACGTTCCCTCACAAAGTGTCAAAAGGAGAATCTGGAAGATAGGGGGTTATAGGTCGCGCCAAAAAACATATACAAAAACCATATACAAAATAATAAGATAATAAATTGAAAACCAAAAAAAACTAAAGAGTATAAAATAATAAAAAATATCACCATGCGAAACTTATAAAGATATAGTGAGAATATAATATGTACTTACATATATCAATACATTAAAAAATAAGTAAGTCCTAGAGTGAACAAAATGGCCAGGTCCACTTGAAAGGCTGAAAGATGGTAATAGTCCATACAAATAAAAGTAGAGGAATAGTCGATTTTTCTTGTTCCAGGTGAAACTATGCAAATAGAACAAAAGGAAATTCCAATAGTGCAGACTGTAGCTTGAACTTCTTTAGAATTGAAGAGTCAAAACGAAAAAGTATTGCACTCACCTATTTTGGAGCTTGGACTAGCTCAGGTATGGTTCACACTCAGTGGTATTAGTCCCCCACTGATGGGGTATTGGTATTTGTAGGTGAAGGAACTCCTCGGAAGAGAAGAAAATAACACAAATATAGTGCTCACTGTATTAGTGTTAAGATGGAGAGAAAATAAAAATATGTGGAATACTCACATTTGGGTGAGCAGGATATACTGCTCACTCTTTTGGCATAGGTGGTACAATCCCCACCTAGGATTCTTGAACAAATGGGTAATATTGTATACTGTATAACCAGGTCCAGAAATAGAATAAAAATAAGATAAAATAAAATAAAGGATATGTGGCAAGAAAAGAAAAAAATACTAGCCAATATTCCTTTATACGCGTTTTGCCACACAGGGCTTTATCAACTGGCAATTCAAAAAACATAGGCCTGGTATGGAATGGTTTATATAAACAATGAGTCCATTAACAATTTCAAAATTCGAGCCACCGCCAGACCCACCACTATCCACAACATAGACATCAAAAACCTTTAGCACAACACAACCATTACAGAAGACGTCACCTATCACCAAAAAAGTCATTACCACCTCACCACTATAAGAAACCTTCAAACTCAACCAGAATATACCACATATCACCCCCTGATTATCAAAATGTTTCTCACTATAATGCTACTTCTAAGACCACTTATCATTCACCCACACCAAAAATTCGAACACTCAAAGATGTCACTCCCAAACCACA